GAGAGAGAGAGAGAGAGAGAGAGAGAGATGGTTTCCTCAGCTAAATCTAATATTCACCAACACGTATTTATATTATACATAAATATAAAAATTACTGAGTAGGCCTATATTTTTTTTCTAGCCACCTTTAGTTTCACTTTTCTTTTCTTTTAATATTTAGTTATCCAGGCACTTCGCATTTGGTCGGTTGTTGATAACGAGCTAGTTTTTGTGACTGCAGTCATGAAAACAACTGAGAAGGTATCAATCAGCCATGACATGATATTTGGCATATTTGTGGCAAGGTTTTTAACTGTCACGAGAAAATATTATTACACATATTTCCTATGCACATAGTATACTATTTAACAATGATAGTAGGCTATACTTTATGATTTCTAAAGGAAATAAACCAGATTTGAGCTCTGCAGTTCCTGGTAATGTCCCACCTCTGGATACCAAACCTTTTTTTCTTTCTGGTTGACTAAAGAAGGGGGGTTGTCCTGAGAGCTGCTCTCAATGTTTGCTTTGCTTTTTTCTTGTATAGGCATGAAACGCAGGGAAGAACGAGTTTGAACGCTTCAGCTGCTCTGAACATAAATTGATTGTAATATGCATTCAGTCCACCAGGTGGGACTACAACAACTGAATTAAGAGCTGAAACAACAAGGACACGTCACCAATAACTAATGATCTAATTTTTGAGAATAACTTATGCACATATATTTCTATAAGCGTGCCACATGTCACCTGAAACAATAACTGAATAAAATATATAAAAGGTTTTCTTTCTTAAGAAAACTTGTAGTACGTAGGCAAATAAAAAGACAAAATTTGATTATTTATACATTTATCTTTTTTTTTTTTAATTCAGTCTAATTTTCATATAATTGCACTTCTCGGTGTCTTCTCATATGTTTTATATAATTTAAAACTATTGGCAATGTCAGAATGATAACATTAGGCTAAGAAAAACTGTGAGCATGTGAATATTATTGATTACAAAGAATAAATACATTACACACACATGAATAACCCTGAATAGAGTACAACCAAAGTCCCTTTAAGGTATTCTATAGTCTTTGGTACAACATAACAGTAAGCAATGTCTGAATTTCTACAGTCCATTTGCATTATATAAAATGTATGTTTCTGAATAATCACCACAGAAATTCAAATCAAAACATAACTTTTTAAAAATGAAAACATGATTTAATATTCAATGTATAATAAATATATTTACTGTTTTTACCCTTTTGCATACAGAGGAAAAGTGAGTTTGTGGTTTGCAAATGTCAACACAATTTCATGTCCATTCAAATGAATGCAAATGATGTTCATATACATAAACGGTGTTCTGACATTTAACAGTTTAAACCACAAGTCATTTTAAATATTTATTTTGACTGTAAATCATGCCTATATTCATGAACTATAAATTACTTCATGCCCATGGAAACATTTTATATCCACCCACACTTCAGAACATTTATAGACTGATTTAGTTCGAGTGCTGTCCCAACAAAGCTTCCCTTTAAATCATGCTGTTAGAAGTGACATAGCCCTAAATTGACTGATTAGGGAAGAGGTCATTTCAGGGTTTGTAGTTTTCTTTTTAGCCATTAGGCGGAATTTTGACTGACCAACACCTAAAAGGATAGTTGCTTCAAAAGAGTACAGTGCCATGTCAGAGAAAAACAAATGGCAAATATCCAAATATAAAGATCCTTCATTATGTTTACATTTTAGAACTTTAGAAAAGGCCAAAAGGTTGTCGAAGATAAGCTCAGTCTTTTAAGACTGGGTTTAGTGAAGGGTCAGATATCACTTTCAAGTAAATAATTGTTTCAAATTCAAGAAATTAACAATTACAACAAACACAAACATAAGAAATCAAACTTTTATTTCTCTATTATTTTACAATACAATTCTGACTACAACGCCAGATTCAAGTGTCCATCCACAGAGGAGGGGGAAATGCTAACGAGGAAAGCAGTCTCTGATATTAAAGATTACAAATAAAGCACATCTCACAAGAACACACATTAGATAAAATAAAACGGACACCTGGAACCAGGTCAAGTCCGTCTCATGCACCACCAAGCATCCATACAAACACATTGGAGGTCCTCAGATAATACTACAGTATCTTTATCTGAAACACAAAACTTAAATAAAATAAATTAGGAAACAGACAAGGCAGCACTACGTTTTATGATTATTACTGTTGTTCAAACAAACGGTAATACCTTGTGGCAAAATTTGCTACATTTCACACGAATGCTGCATCCAGTAATATTGTGTTTCAATGTCCTACCAGCTTTCACACAGGTTTAATTCTCCAGCGTAAATCTCACATTTCTCAGATAAAGCATTAAAGGGATGGGTTACCCCAAAAATGTTATAATGGCCTCATATTGTTCCAAATACATGTAACAACTTTTGTAACACGGAACAAAAGAGGTGATGTTTTAAACAATGTTCACACTGCTCTATTCCATATAATGTGGGACCAGTGAATGGGGACCAGAGGCTGTTAAGCTCCAAAAAGCACCATAAAACATCCTGATAATTGTCAATAAGACTTATGCAGTATAATCCATGTCTTCTGAATCCATATGTTATGAGAAAGAGTCTGAAAAGATTTTATAGTCAAGACAAGAGCAGCTTTGACGTTATGTTTTAAATACATCCTTTGTTGTTCCACCGAGGAATGAAAGGTATTTTCAGGTGATACCAGAATTTTCATTTTGGAGTGAACTATCCCTTATCCCTTTAACCAACGTTTGATTAACATACACAAACAGACATCTAGATACCCCATCACTCACAAAACTCAGTACAAACAAGTTGGGTACATTATTCCAAGTATAAATATGATACATTTATGGCTTTTTCCATTTGAGATAATATCTGTTTGAGGAGTTCATAGTGCAAACTTTTATAATATAATAGTTATACTGTAGCTCAGGCATCTTATGTGTTATTCTAAATTCACTGACTTCCACTTAAGTATAAACGCTCTGCGAGGAGCTACGAGAACATCAGTTCATCAGCTCCACACCAGAAACTAATGTCTTACTGTGGGACTGTTCAAATGCTAAATTGAACCCGACAGGCCTCTGTGGCTTTCTTCCAGTCTCACAGATAATGGTCTTTTCCTGCCAGCTCATTTTCACATTCAAAGGCCTTTAGTGGTCAGTATTCAGCTCCAAGATCTGCGACAGGTCCAACCATACAGAGAGAGCTTATATGCAGTATCAAATTGCACACCTGCTGGGTAAGGCTGTCAGAAGTAGTCCCTTCGCCGTGAATCATCGCTTATGAAGGAAGGGTTCCACTGAGCTGGGTAGATGCAGGAATGCCTCGAACCGGGGAGGCCGGAGAACGGATACAGACCATTACGTTCCAGGTCAGAGTTCCTCAATGCAGGCTTAAAGAGAGAATAGTACATAGTCACATATTAGCTAATCATGTGGAAAATTCACCAATTCAGGATGTGCATGGCCATGTGAAGTGTTTTTTTTTTTTATGGATTTATTTATTTATATTTAAACATCATGAGACTATGGAAGCTTATTTCCGCCACGGAATTTTAAAATGTTAATGGTTATTGCAACTTTTTAATCTCACAATTCAGATTTCCCCCCCCCCCCCCAAAACTCACGGT